TGTTAGAGACGAAGAAGAAAAGGACAGAGAGGCCGATGTCATGAAGAAGAGGCCGAACATCTCCATGACCAAAGTATTGATCAAGGAAGAAGAAAGGAGAGTCAGGGCCGAAGTCTATGAGGACAAGGCCGAAGATCTCCATATTGAACCAAAGATAGAATAAAACTGAAGAAATCAGAAACTCAAAGAAATATAGAATAGAACTGAAGAAATCAGAAGCTCAAAGAAATATAGAATAAAACAGTTGGAAATCAAAGAAATATAGAATTGAACAGGTGAAAAAATAGAATAGAACAGGGGGAATTTAACGAAAGGAGGGCCACATGTTTGAATTTCTATATGACCGTTATGGCTCAAAGAAAGGAGAGCCACATGTTTTTAAATCAGCATATGATTGTTATGTGCTGTCACATCAACATTTGGTTGTGTGATGTTGCTCTTCTCTCTCTGTTTTGTCTATTTAAATGTTGTAACAAAACTGGAAAAGATGAAGATTTCTGGAAAATCTCTTTGAGAATTAATAAGAAGCTAAATCAGTTTGAAGTGTTGCCCATTGGAACCGAGAGAGAGAGACCAAGCTTAGTACTTCAATCTTCTTACACTCTTTCTAATCTGAACACTTCTAAACACTCATTAAAGTCTTCTTAATCTGTTATTCTTAACTCTAGATTAATGAGTCTAAACCCTTCTTCTCAAGTACACAAATTAACTCACAATGTTGTGTTACTAAGTCTCGGGTTAGTCTCAAACTAGAGCTTCTCCCCTATATAGAATCAATTTTCTCTCTAGTAAATTCGGTTCTATTTGGGTTCGTTGTGTTGATTCAACCACAAGTTGGTTGTCTCTTTTCTTGTTGAGAACGAGTCTCTTTGTGTGGATTAAAGGGATTTAATCACAAGTTGATTCTCTCCTTTCTTGATATGAGCTTACTCTCATATATTCTAACACCTAGTAGATGTCAGATCAAAGGTAATTAATTCATAATGGCTTATGATGGTTTCAAGGTCCTTACGCTCCCGTTTCGAAAAGGCAACGATATCAATCGTAGTTTCTTTATGAATTTTTATCTCCCTGATGAGAAAGAAGGCTTAGATAATCTTGTGGAGAAAATGGCATCAACACCTGGTTTCTTGGATAGCCACATTCCAAGATACAGCGTCCAAGTTGGTGAATTCAGAATTCCAAAATTTAGGATCGAATTCGGGTTTTCAGTTTCAAATGCTTTCAGTAGATTAGGATTGGGTGGAGCCGCTTTGTACCATAAAGATTGATGAAGAAAGTGCTGAAGCTGCTGCTGTAACTATAACTGCTTGTTTTGGCTCCGCTAGTTTTGTGAAGGGGATAGATTTTGTGGGAGATCATCCATTTCTTTTCTTGATTAGAGAAGACCAAACTGGAACCGTTTTGTTTGTTGGTCAGATCATTGATCCTTCTAAATCTTCTTAGGGCTCAAGTCAGCTTGTAATTAGGGTTCCTTTGGTTTGGTAAGAACTTAGAAGTTTTGGGTTTAGATCAGGTTTTAGCTTCGATATTGGTTGGAGTCTAGGTGGTTTTTGGGTTAACCGGAAAAATGTGTGATTCTTCGATTTGAATCCTTTGTAGATTCGGTTAAGACTGCGTCATTTTTATTTATAATATTGGATATTAGTTTGAGTTTTCCCAATCTTTAATTTATGATCCTTAATTCC